AAAAGTACTTTTGTAAAAGTGCTTTCGTAGAAGTACTTTCGTAGAAGTGTTTTTATAAAAGTGCTTTCATAAAAGTACTTTTATAAAAGTGCTTTCATAAAAAAGTTCTTTCATAAAAGTGATTTTCAAAAAGTGCTTTCGTAAAAGTGTTTTCGTGTAAAAGTACTTTTATGAAAGAGCTTTCATAAATGTACCTTTGTAAAAGTGCTTCCGTAAAAATATTTTTATAATTGTAATTATASGCAACTAATTACAATTAGAATTAGGTGTCCCCCAACCAATTTAAGTCTTCTTTCTCTAATAGAATTGGATGTCATTTTTTTACATCAAATTTCAGTCTTCTTTCTCCAATCTACCAATTTATTACCATAGTTGAACTTAGAGCCGAAACCGACCCAAACCAATCCAACCCAATTCAAACCGACCAAGTCGGTTTTGCTTAATACAAGGTGAGTTTCAGTTTCAATTTTAAGTAACCCAATCAGATCGAATCGGTTCAAAAAATCTCAGTAAACCGACCCAATCAGACCCGTGAAGAGCCCTAGTTAAAGTAGGCACAATATTATAAATAAGGTAAATGARCATTTAAAAACTTTTTTGACACTTGTCACTTTGCCAAAATATTTTATCAAGTGCTCATTTAAATCGGTTGGCATATAACTGTTCCAATTAATACGATGTGATCCATACATTAACATAATGACAATAACGTATGTGATCCATATATTAACAAGTATTCATCATCAGATAATTAGTTTTCGGCATAGTTCCGTTGACACACCAYGGTTCCCGAGAAATGTGTACTCCGTCCCCTGTTGTTCTTCCTTCTCTTCCAAATGTGCACTTCCGTTGACACCATAAATGGGAATCAGCCCATCACRGACGGCCAAGTCCTGGTCTCTGCCGGAGGGCACTTCGCGTTAGGATTCTTCAGCCCCGAAAATTCTACCAACGGCAACAGGTACGTGGGGATATGGTACAACAAAGTTAAACAACAGACTGTGGTATGGGTAGCCAACAGAGAAAACCCAATGAAGGATTCTACTGGAGTAGTCTTCACCATCAACCRAGACGGAAATCTTGTCGTCTTCGACAAACATAGGAAGGAAGCTCTCTGGTCCACAAACATTACGACGGTGGCCACCAATGGGTTGGAAGCTAAGCTCTTAGATTCAGGAAATCTTGTTCTCAGTCGTCAAGGGATTATTGTATGGCAGAGCTTCGACTACCCTACACATACCCACCTTCCTGGTATGCGTATCGGCTTGAACAGAAAAACCGGTCTAAATTGGTCACTAACGTCTTGGAAGTCTCGAGACGACCCAGCACGTGGGGATTACTCATTCCGGATTGACCCACAGGGCTCGCCACAGTCCTTCTTGTACAAGGGTTCGGTTCGAGTCTGGAGAAGTGGTCCGTGGAATGGTGTGAGCTGGAGCGGAGTACCGGAGATGTCCCAAACGTACCTCTTCAGTTACCAATTCGTAAACACAAGCGACGAGGTTTACCTGACCTACAACATCTATAATACCTCTATTTACTCGAGATTCGTGTTGGACGAATCCGGATTGGTGCAGCGGCAGACATGGATCGACAGAGACCAGCGATGGAACATGTTCTGGTCAGCGCCAAAGGACGGGTGCGACGAATACGGACGATGCGGACCGTACGGCATCTGTATCACAAGCAATAATTTTGAGTGTACGTGCGCGTCGGGGTTCCAACCTAAGTCGCCGGCGGACTGGTACTTGCGAGATGGATCGGAAGGGTGCGTGAGGAAGAGGAAGTGGGAGTGCGGAAAGGGAGAAGGGTTCTTGAAATTGGAACGCGTGAAGCTGCCGGATACAACTCTGGCTTCTAGGGTGGACACGAGATTGAAGCCGGAAGAGTGCAGGAACGAATGCTTGAGGAACTGCTCTTGCACGGCCTACACCAGCGCAAATATTAGTGGAAGTGGGTGCATCGCTTGGTACGGGGACTTAATGGATATCAGAGAGTATGCGGAAGGGGGACAAGATCTATACCTACGTATGGATGCAATTGAGTTAGGTATTCTCAAAATTATACCAATCACTCACCTTCTTGGTTTTTATTAAGGCTATGTTTGGTTTTAAGGAAAAAATAGGGAAAGAAAAATAAAGTAGGGAAACCTTTACAGATCTTTTATGGGTTTCTTTATCTTTCTCTTCTTTTTCCCATCTTTTCCTTCAAACCAAACATAACCTAAATCGATCTCACCCTGACGTAATATATGAGGTTGGACCAATCTCCATTTGGGCCCGCCCATTTAAACACCCAGCCTTGATATGAGGGGCTCTAATCTGTTACATGGCCATGAATTTTATCATATCAAAACACTGTTGCCTCACCCATACGTGACTGTGACCCAATAACTGCCCATGGGTAAATCCCATATGTCGGCAGCATAAGTCATGTTTAACTTTTCTGTTAGTAATTCAACGCCATCACATCACTGCCATCACTTTCTCAGATTCCCTATGACTGTATTTGGTTTGATAGAAAATTAGGGAGGAAAAGAAAGCTGCGGGAAAGCATGGGTGAAGACGTGAATTTGAGTATTCTTTTATCATGATAGTTCTGAGATGTTATTAATTAGATAGGATGGGAAAAAGGTGGGATTATAGTTCTCAGTTGTTAGAATGTGGAATTCCACCATTTTGGTTTCAAACAAGTGGGAAAGAATGGAAAACAGGCCGGTCTTCTTGCTCATCAATCCGGTGCGGATCAACATCGGGAAGGATGTGTAATGCATTACGTCAACCTCCCCAATCTTTCTTATGACCGCCCTCTCTTCCTCTAAAAGTTGGGACAGCTTGGGTTGCTTCACCTTCGTCCTCGACTTCTGTAGGTCGGCCGGCAAAGGCGAGCCCCTGGGACAGTGCACAAAGACAAAATTTTCCTTCCAGTGCTTTATCGAAAATGGGGCTTCAACCAGCACCTTAATGCACTGTCAAGCTGAAAAGTAATAGTAGCCCTATTGGTGGTGCTTCAGTTGAAAGAAGTAGGTGACCATCCCCAAGGTAATCTCAAGGCCGTGGACGAAGCAATAGGACAAAAGGCCGATCAAAAACCTAAAGGAGTTCGACATCAGCTGAACATGCAATACCCGGTACCACCTGAACACTTTGACAAGGCCCTCGTGCAAAGGGAACCTCAGCCCAGCCATCAGGCTCTTCTCATACACAGATTTCGCCCGACCGAGCATCTATAGGCTTCTCACCAGTTCTCGGGCACCTAAGTTCAAACTCTTCAGGGATGTAGTACAAGGCTCAGATCCGGGCTATATCCCCAAGTGTTAGACAGCACGACGTGGTCCCGAATCGATGACCAGCGCGTGGAGGAAGGTCGACCTCCTTGGTTGATGGGCCCGCCTCAACCTACTCATCCTCAGCAACCCTCTAAAGATTGACCTCCTCAAAGTCCTCGACCTTGGCCTCCTGGGAATCAACCTCACGAACATCGAGTGCGGTAGCCTCGGTGAGCGACTCCAGCTCAAACCCAGAATAAGAAGAGGAAGCAGAAGAAGAGGAAGAAGAGTGGGAAGACGAGGAAGACATCTTTCCAAGTTTCGAAGGTTTAAGACCGCAGAACTGAAGCAAACATCGAGCAACCGAAGACTACTTCTCGTCGAGCTTTGCAAGATATTCCTTGACAAATGGCAAAGGGGAAATGCTCTTCCCCCCTTTTATAGGACTCCCAACGATCTAGATCAAGGCAAGATCAACGGCATAGATCAAACGCCGCCCTTTGACAACTCGGAAAGACGAAACAATGCCACTAACCTTCGCACGCATGTAACCTCGAAAAGGCGAAACATCGCTTCCATCACCACGACACGAGCGTCGAACTAGTCGGTTCGCCCAAAAACCAGTTCAATCCAAAGGTCCTCCACTCAAATGGCACGCTCAAACACCTTCAGACTTGAATTCCTCAACTGATAACCAAAGAACTCTTCCACGTCACACCGAAGCCGAGCAATACACTTCTCAACTTCAGAACTGTGGGAGTGGTGTTCGGGTTATGGTTGAGCTGGCCCCGGGCACCATGTGTCACCTCCGTGGTCATCCTATCTCTTCGACCACATCACCTCTGTGGCGTTGCTCATCTCTTTAGCCACGTCGGCACCACGTCATACGGATAAGTGCGACCAAGATAGGAGATCATCCTACGAATGAAGACAACTCTGCTAGGGATCAGGACTTATCCCGTAGACCTCAATGGGCAACCTCATCCCGACAACCCCATAAGTGTCATGCGACCAGGACAAGAATCTTCGGGTATAAAAAGGTACCTCCCACTCAAGGTAAGGAATCCACTTTTCGACTTCCGTACTGTTACTCTGCTCGGACCAGCACCGTTCTCTAACTACTCAGCCCGACCGCCCCTTATTCTTGACTAACTTGAGCATCGGAATACCTATCCGGAGATAACTCATTGGGCCTCTAACCACTTTCTTGGTTTCGGATCTTAGAGCACGTACGACTTCGTACTTCCACTTCGGCTCCGCCCAATTGATAGGATTATCCGACTATGAAGTCAGTTCAAAAGCAGCATCAGATATCACAAATCATAACTTTGGAAAATAATTATCATCCAGGAAACCGAATTTTTGTCACCTATGAACAATAATTCAATAATTGAAGTTCCTGACACTTGCGTCAACTAGGTGACAAGTTCCATCAGGCTATGCCGTAACCTTCTAATGAAAGAAAATTCGTCGCTCCTTGAAGTTATATTTTCTTGATTTGAGCCAGATTGGCCTAAAAGATCACGGCCTTTGATGATACATACAAGACGATGTTTTTACAGGTTCCATTGACACCAATGGTTCCCGACCCCGAGAAATGTGTACTCTGTGCACTGTTGCTCTTCATTATCTTACAAATGAGCATTTCCATTCATACTATAACTAGGAATTTTATCACGGACGGCCAAATTTTGGTCTCTGCGGGAGAGCACTTTGCGTTAGGATTCTTCAGCCCCAGAAATTCTACCAACGGCAACAGGTACGTGGGGATATGGTACAACAAGGTTATAGAAAAGACTGTGGTCTGTGTGGCCAACAGAGAAACCCCAATTAAGGGTTCCACTGGAGTCTTCACCATCAATCCAGACGGAAATCTCGTCGTCTACGACCAACATCGAAAACAAGCTTCTTCCCCTCTCTGGTCGACAAATGTTACGACGACGGTGGCCATCAATAGGTTGGACGCGAAGCTCTTAGATTCAGGAAATCTTGTTCCCAGTCATCAAAGGATTATTGTATGGCAGAGCTTCGACTACCCTACACATACCCAGCTTCCTGGTATGCGTCTCGGCTTGAACCGAAAAACCGGTCTAAACTGGTCATTAACGTCTTGGAAGTCCCAAGACGACCCAGCACGTGGGAATTACTTATTACGGATCGACCCACAAGGCTCGGTGCAGATGCTGATATGGATCAATAATGACCAGCGGTGGAATGCGTTCTGGAAGGCGCCAAGGGACCGATGCGACGAATACGGACGGTGCGGACCATATAGTAACTGTATCACAAGATATAATTTTGAGTGTACGTGCGTGGCAGGGTTCCAACCTAATTCCCCTGCCGACTGGTACTTGAGAGACGGATCGAGGGGGTGCGAGAGAAAGAGGAGGTTGGCGTGCGGGCAGGGAGAGGGGTTCCTGAAGTTGGAACGCGTGAAGCTGCCGGATACTTTGGCTTTACGGGTGGAGACGAGTTTGACGCTGGAAGACTGCGAGAAGGAATGCTTGAGGGACTGCTCCTGCACGGCCTACGCCAGCGCAAATATTAGTGGAGGACGAGGACGGGAGAGTGGGTGCATTGCTTACCCTCTCTCTCTCTCTCTCTTCCTCTTCCTCTCTCTTGATAAATCTTTCTCTAATATGCCAAAACCCCAAAACATAGCCATGTTCTAAATAGCAGGGGTTCAAGTAAGGTACCTGATCGGGATTTCCTGTTCACTTTTCCTATTACCCGCCGTGAATTGGAACCATACAATTCTATAATGAATTGAGAGATGTATGGCTGCAATTCACGGGGCGGGTAGAAAATCTGGGGTGGATTTTAAATCTACACTGAATCGAGATTGGGCTTTTGACTCGGGCTCATTAAAATTTTGACAAAACCCCATTTTTCAGGAATCAATTCATCATCATTTAAGTGATGTCCAAACTATATGAAATTGGTTACATGAATCCCTTTTAACCCCATTTTTTAATCTTGCTTGACTACTCGGTCCTATTTAATACCATATCCATTGTACAATTTAAACCATAAATTCAGCCATATAAAAAATTGCTGACTCACCAATGTGTGACCCAATAACTGCCCATAACTGAACCTCAGCCCAGATCTTGGCCAGTTCAAATCATTCCCCCAGAAGGGGGAGCCCCACAACGTGCCACAGCACATCTTTGCCGTCTATTATCATCATTTTTTATACTATCATCGAGAGATGTTCTCAATAGATGATAGGGATATGTTGTGGGACGTTGTGGGGTGCCGGGCTGATTTGAATTTTATCTTGGCGCCCTAAGCCGGTCATATCTAAGTTTTTCTTTTATTAATATTCGAAGTCCTCATTCCAGTGCCATAACTTTTGTTACATTAAGGATATATTTCGTTTGACAGAATATAAAAGGAGAAATAGAAAGTTGAGGAAAAAGTTGATTTCCTACCCGATTTGATGAATTATACGCATCGGGCCTGATTTTTTGGGGAGGCCCATTCAAATTTTAACAAATCACATCCTGAATCCACCTAAGGGAAAGTTCAAGTTGAACTACATCTAGCCTGGGAGACTGGGAATTCAAGTTGTATCCCCAAGGGAAAGCTCCTAAGAACTTCTACAAACACAGCTTAAATAACTTAAAGAATCTTCCACATAAAAAGTAATTCAAAAGTTCGAATGGTACCTTCCACATGTTAAGTTTTTGAACCCATGGACTCTTTCCAATTTCTTTGCGAGCACATTTCATATTTAAAAGGACTAAAACTTCGAATAACTATCATTAATGGGACAAATTACAAATACAAGGTGGGTAGACTATGGAGTTGATATACTCTGAGGTTGAATATGTGACCCACTAGACAGCCTCTACCTCGTAGTTGGTTAGGATTGGCCATATCATCCCTCCAAGCAGTGGCAAGTGGCAGTACCAGATGGAGCTGTCTAGAGAATAGACCTCACACCCATCAATATGTACATATGGATCAAAATGAGATAAATGAAGACATTAATTGAAATTTTTTCCTTGTAGCTGCACAGACAAGAAGAAATTATAAAGGATTTGGCAAGGCCCGGATGTTGGTGATTGTTATACTTGTTACTGTACTGCTCTTCCTAGCTCTATGTGGATCTTATTTTCTGTGGAAGAGAAAAAGGAAAGGTAAATCTCTCTCTCTCTCTCCACATTCTTTTTACATGCTATAGTTGCTTGATCACCATATTCAAAAAGCCATCAATGTCTTCCATGTAGATTCAGTAAGTACCCACTTATATTTTTATTTATTTTTATACAATAGTAAGGAAACAAAAGAAACTTACACATGAAAATCAAACAAGCTTTACAAGGAAGCATGACGCTCAGTAAAATGACCCCAAGCATTAAAAAAACAAATGTAACAAAGGAGATGATCTTCAAGCTTCCCTTAGCGCATGAGAAGAGGAGATGTTAAGGTCTAGAGTCCCCTTCTATGATATATTTATACTAAGGGAATTTGGTTACAGTGAGATGAGCTTCGAGAGCCGCCCATGCTTCATCCTCATTTGTCAAACACACTCCAATATTCCTACAAGTCACCCATAAGGTCTGCCCCCTTTCATTCCTTAATATGGCTCCAACAATCGAGATGCCATCTGGAATTTTGGAAGCATCGAAATTAATCTTGACTAGACCATTACCCAGTCAGGTCCATCTGATTAGTTCATCTTGTTCCTCTATCAGGCATATGAGGATATTGGGTGACATGCACTTAAGTATTCTTCGAAATCTCTTTTTACTTTTTTAAGTCTTCTTCGTTTTCACAACACGGACAGTCTACATTATCAACAAGGCCTAGTTTTTTTAGCCTCAACTTTGTTAACAATTTGTTCTATGGAACTAAGAATATGAAATAGTGAACTTTGGGGGCAATTTTTAGTCTCCATATTTTGTTTAATCTCTTCTCTCACACCATCATCTAAAGTGCCTTCTAGGAGGGTGTAAGTCAATTTGATGGAATACCCACTATTTGGATTAGATTTCTAGATTATCCTATTCACCATAACTCTTGAAGGAATTGGGATTGCATGGATTTGGTCCCAATGCCAGAGGGCTTACCTTGCTTAAAATTTTTTCCTTATCCCAAGTTTTTGAATTAGTGATAAACTCATTAATTGTATTCTGATGGTTAGTTTAAGAGTACGATTCCTCATTCACTAGTGCTCTTTTGCCAAACCACTTGTTGACAAAAAATTTATGGATGTTCCATTTCCTAACTTCCACCAGATCCCTTTCTTTAGAATGTCTCGAAATTGGAGGATGCTCTTCCAAGCCCAGGAAATTCACTTCTTTGCTTTAATTTGCCAGAAATCTTTATTTTTAATGTATTTATTTTTTTAGTATTTGGACCCATAGATTTTCAGGTTGTGTAAGTATTTTCAAGCCCAATTTAGCAATACTAGCTTCATTTATCCATATGAGGTTTTTCAAACCCCATCCCCCATTTCTTTTCGAATGGCATACTGTAAGCATAGGAAAACGGCTCACTCGGGCTGAATTTGGAGTCACCACCAATCAGTTACAGAAATGGAGGTGATGGGACCTCCGATAATTATTTTCAAAACCGTTTTGTTTTAATAGTGACTCCAATAACCCAAACCACTGACTAAACCAATCTGGATAAGACTCAGATGGGAGAGGAAAGGGATTAAGTACCCCTCTACTAAGTCTAATAAGTGGGGCCCACATGGGATTCTATAACAAGCACAAATAGCAATTTTCGTTTTTCTATATTTTTTTACTTTTTATTATTTTTTCATTTTTTATTGGAATACTATTTGATATCGCATTTTTCCTTTTTTTTCTTTTTTCTTTTTCTAATTCCCCTTTGTACTTTCAACCCGAATCAGAGACCCATACCACCATCAACTCAAAAAGATGTTCTCTTCCGTACTCGCAGACCAATCCCCTTTTGGATGCAAGGGCCTGAGCAAAAGGGTGGAAGGGTGCTCCCTCACCCCATTTCTATTAGAGACCCAAGTTCGGACTCGCTGGAATGATCTGAAGAGAGGAAATTCAAATCATTGGACCGTTGGAGAATGCTCAGGCTGGTATTCTCTGTTTTTTTCTTTCTTTTTATGATTTTTTTTTTTGTTTCCCCCTATTTTCTTGTATTTGGGCTATTGCAACCAACTTTACACGACAGTCTCCATTCAGCAATAGCTGGATTCCTCTTTCAAAGTTCAAAGGGCATAAATCCAATAGGCTTCTTCAGTAAAGATGCATCTAATCAAACAATAATGATAAAAACACAAAAAGAACTAATCTGCTCCCCAGCTTAAGGACGTAGTAAAGATTTGCATTCGAATCAATTGTAAACACAACAGATATTACAAGTTATTACAAGGAAATGATTAAGAAAAACTAAACTTAATTGAACCAGAAACTCATGGGCTTCCTCATTCAAACAGGATTTAACATTCATAGAGAAAGAAATAAAAGCAAAATGAAATCGATAAACCTCTTATCAACAATATCATATAAGGAAAACAATGTTGGGGAAGTTACATTATAGTAGCAAAAATGAGTGTAAAACCAATTCCAGGACAGCAAAAACTTTTCCCCTAAGTTTGTGTGTGAAAATGGGTATGTCAATAACAATGATAACAAGTAAACAATTCAGCCAAGTAATAGAAAAATAGATAACAATCACCACACAATAGCACACTAGAATTTTTACGTGGAAAACCCCAAAATCGGGGAAAAACTATGGGACCTATGGTCCATAAAATTCTTCCACTAATTCAGAAATTAATGGATACAATAGTCTTCTCTAGTTGAAATTAGAGGCTTACAAACATCAAGGAAATAACCCTTGACTCACAAGAACAACATTAACATCACCAAATGCAAGGTGGATACAACACAAACTGAGGTTTAGATCTCACCAAGTTGTTGTAAATCGGAACTGAGAAGAAGAAGAATCAAGAATCAAGAAATTTGAATTGGAGATGGATTCTTAACTCCAACACTTAACTTCATCAAAAACAGGCTTGAAAGACACCTTCCAACTTGGTATTGAATGGAATAAGAACCAGCTTTTCTTCTCTTTTTCACAAAACTCAAAACAACCAGAAAACCCTCGGATATTCTCTATTTTCTTCTCTTTCGCGTCTTACAACCGATGGTTACAAATAGATGATGACCAAATCAAAAAAGAGGTGGAAGCCTTTTTTTGGCTTCCACTATGCGGCTCCTTTTGGGAGCAAATAAAAGTGGGTGGGCCCCTCATATGGGCTAGACCCACACCCAACAATCCTCCCCCTCCAGTTCATATGGGGGGTTTCACCAAGCCCGCAGCTTCTTTGCATAATTCAAATTTGTCTCTAGGCAAGGACTTTGTTAACCTATCTGCACCATTCTCATCAGTATGAATCTTCTCAATGTTCAACAACTTCATAAACAATACATCCCGAATCCAATGGTACATTACATCAATGTGTTTGGATCTTGAGTGGAAAGTTGGATTTTTAGAGAGATGGATAGCACTCTGACTGTCACAATGGAGAGCATATCATTCTTGCTTCATTCCCAATTCTTGTAAGAACTTCTTCAACCATATGATCTCCTTAGAAGCTTTTGTAGCTGCAATGTATTCAGCCTCTGTAGTGGACAATGCAACACACTTCTAAAGTTTGGATTGCCATGAAATTGCTCCCCTGCAAAAGTCATTAAGTATCCCAAAGTGGACTTTCGGGAATCAACATCACCAGCCATGTTTGCATCAGTGTACCCATCCAACATGACTTTACCATTCCCAAAGCATAAGCATATTTGAGAAGTACCTCTGAGATACCTGAATATCCATTTTACTGTTATCCAATGTTCTTTGTCGGGGTTAGAGAGAAACCGACTAACTATACCAACAACATGAGCAATGTCAGGCCTCGTGCACACCATAGCATATAGTAAACTACCAACTGCTGAAGTATAAGGCACTTTCTTCATTTCTTCTTTGCCTTTCTCACTTGTAGGACATTGTTTAGTGTTGACCTTGAAATAACCTACAAGTGGAGTAGTCACTGGTTTTGCATTGCTCATGTTGAACCTCTCAAGAACCTCCTCAATATATTTTTCTTGAGATAACCATAACTTCCCATTCTGTCTATCTCGAGAGATCTTCATACCAAGAATCTGTCTAGCTGGTCCCAAGTCCTTCATTGCAAAGGACTTGCTACGCTCCTTTTTCAACCTGTCAATCTTGGTAGAAGCATGGCCAACTATCAACATATATAAAACAAGAGAATAATGAAATTGCCATTAGAAAATTTCTTTATAAATACATAATGATCTGAAATGGTCCTAGTGTACCCATGATCAACCATGAAGGAGTCAAATTTGTTGTACCACTGTCTTGGTGCTTGTTTCAATCGATACAAGCTTTTCTTTAATCTACACACCAAATGTTCTTTTCCTTTTTCTTTGAATTCTTCTAGTTGCTCCATATAGATTTCTTCTTCCAAATCACCATGAAGGAATGTAGTTTTCAGATCAAACTGTTCAACTTCCAAATTTAGACTTGCAGCTAGTCCAAGCACAACTCGAATAAAGACATTTTCACCACAGGAGAGAATATTTCTTCAAACTTGATACCCTTTTTCTGACTGAAACCCTTCACAATCAGCATTGCCTTGTATTTTAGTTGTGAGCCACTCTTATCAGATTTCAATTTATAAACCCATTTGTTTYTTAGTGCCATTTTYCCCTTTGGTAATTTCACCAAATCATAGGTGTGATTCTCATGCAAGGATTTTAATTCCTCTTGCATTGCTTTCAGCCACTCATCTTTCTTGTCATGTGACATAGCCTCTTGATAAGTCTTTGAATCTCCCCCATCTATCAGCATTACATACTCTTGTGGAGGATACCTAGTGGAAGGTCTTCTCTCTCTAGTTGATCTTCTAAGCTGAACTTGTGGTGAAGGAACTGGAGGTACCTATTCATTCTATACTTCCTCTATATTTTCATTTATAGGAGTTTCATCACTAACTATATCATCATCTTCATTTGGTACAACTCTCCCATGATCACCATCAACTGTAGGTGGAAAAACCGGATCCAAGTTAATTGGAACATCAACAGAGAATTATGGCTTCTCAATTTTCTCTATATCTTCAATTGTTTGATCATCAAGAAATACAACATCTCTGCTTCTTATCACTTTCTTGTCCACTAGATCCCATAACCTGTACCCAAATTCTTCGTGCCCATAGCTTAAGAAGATGCACTGTTTAGCCTCGTCATCAAGCTTGGATCTTTCATCTCTAGGAATATGAACAAATGTTCTACAGCCAAACACTTTCAAATGACTGTATGATATGGCTTTCCCTGTCAAAACTCTTTTATGAGTATCTCCATTCAAAGGAACTGAAGGATAAGAGTTGATGAGGTCAATTGTAGTTCTCATAGCCTCACCCCAAAAGGATTTAGGTAATTTAGCATGAGAGAGCATACATCTGATTCTATCAGTAATTGTTCTGTTCATTCTCTCTACTACTCCATTGTATTGAGGAGTCTTAGGAACACTTTTCTCAAGTCTGATACCATGGATCCTACAATATTCTTCAAAATAACCCCTATATTCACCACTATTATCAGCTCGGATGTACTTCAACTTATTCCATATTTCTCTCTCAACCTTGGCATGAAAATACTTGAAAACATTCAACAGCTGATCTTTAGATTTCAAGGCAAATGTCCACACTTTTTTGGAATGGTTATCAATAAATGTCACAAAATATAATGCACCACCAAGAGATCTATCTTTCATGTAACAAACATCAATGTGAACTAAATCTAAAATATGAGGCTTTCTAAATGAAGGAAATTTATGAAATGCAACTCTACTCTGTTTGCTAGATAAGCAATGTAAACATGTTTCAAGAGGCATACATTTCATATTAGGAAGAAGATTTTCTCTGGAACGTATTTGAAGCCCTTTTTCACTCAAATGTACAAGCCTCTAGTGCCAGAGCTCAATGGATGAATCATAAACTGCATTCACCTCTCATTTGCTCAACCTTGCTTGCATCACATAAAAGGTATTGTGCTTCTTTCCCTTTGCCACAATGAGTGAACCTCGATTGAACTTCCATTTTTCATCACTGAAGGTGTTTGCATAACCTTCATCATCTAACC